GTCAAAAATACAACCTGAGCATTGTTTTTTGGATAAATAATCTATTAATCTTCATTTGGTCTCACTTTAATGCCATGAACTGTTCAATATTTCATAGTAAAGCCCTTAAGTTATTATTAATTTTAATTTACACAGATCTATAGTATCATCATGTAGTTTTTCAGGCTTTTACTGTCTTTTTCAGAAGTGAATCTGTATGCCTTTCTTTCTGCTTAATTGCGGATACAATCTGGCAAGTTAATTTCATTTACAGAGTGATTGTTTTCCATTTTAAGCATATTAGCACAGTTTTCATGGGATCTAAGTACCTGCAGTTTGCCAGCTTTATTTAGAGAGCATAACTACTTCAATTACTCCACAGACTTCCTTTGATTCCTCTGTCTGCAGTGTGCCACAGTATAATAACATTTATTCTGGTCTTTTTTTTTTATTCTTGTCCCCACAAAGTCAGCACAAAGATTAAACTGCAATAAGAAAGTGGATGGAAGGGTAGCAAACAGAGAGGATTCTGACCTGAAAAACTCCACGTGCCCTCTGTTCATCACCCAGTCTTGTTAGTTTAGTGGTAGGGATTCATTCTGACTGCAAACGTCACAGGTGACAAAAAAGTTGATGCCTTCAATTGTTTGCTTGAAGTCATCAGTAATGCACAGAATGGGTTCACTGAAGCAGTGGCAGTTCTATAAGCCCCACAGTAAGATGTGACATAATAGGGTATGTCACGAGAAGGCATTAACGAGGGGCCATTGTTATGCACTGATCCGTCACATATGTCTCACCTATGAATATTCTTTTATGCTGGTTCGCCAACCTGAAATTTAAACCTCAGGGACAAAAAGTTGCTGTTTTAATGCGTAATGTATGTTTATATTCATAGATTCTTCACGTAAAGCACGTTGTCATTTCCAAAACGGTTCACAAACTGATAAAAAGCTGCTCTCTTTAAAAGTAACAGAGAGTCATTTTTCTTTTAATTTTGTTACCATGCAAAAGTTCCCTTCAGTTTAAAGGATATTGAAAGTAAGTTTAAATTATTCTAATGTAAAGATACATTTAAAGATAAAGTATTTCTATTGTGTTGTATTTTTATTTTCTATTTCAGATTCTTGCTGTTTTACCAAAATTGTTGTTTTATCAAACATTTTGCTTGAGTGTAAATGGTTTAATTTCATCTGATGCATTAAATATACTGTATAATGGAAGTAGTTAGATTACACAGACTTTATTATTGTAAGACACTACACAAGAATCAGAATCTACTGAGTAAAATTACTTGCTTTTTAGGCAAAGACATCTTCATTAAAATGTATTTTAATTTAGCTAAATATGATAGAGATTATAGTATAATGTTGCATAAGTAATTACAAATGGAATCTTAACCACAGGAAAGCTTAAAACATTTGGCATCAATAAATATTGATTTAAATCCTAAAGTTCTTTGTTTTTTATGTTTTATTTGAGTAGACAGTGATCTCTTATTGTAGCTGTTAGAGGAATAAAAATGAAAAGTATATAGGAACAAGTAATAGGTTTATTCCATGCTAAAAAGAGAAGAGAGAAAACACAACGTTTCGGCTATGAAGCCTTCTTCATGTACTTGTTCCTTTGCATGTATGCTGACGCAGCTACCCACCTAAAATTGTATAGTATAACTGCCCTGTGTCGGGCTGTGGGTGGGCTGGTGGTTTTGGGGGATACAACAGCTGTCTGCTTAACTCCCCAGGTCTTTTGATCTGTTGCAGGGAGAAAGGTCCTGACATCTTTAAAATTGCTATATGTGTAGTTGTCTAAGGGATCAACTGTACACCACATATTGGGGTCACATTATCACTGACAGGGAAAGTAGTGCCTGGGAAGTTGAAGAGTTGCTGTTTTTTCACAAGCCAAGAGAACCCTTGCTGAATTACCACAACTCAGCCCCTAACACATCCTCTGCCAATTTTGTGGCTGGCTAATGACAGGACCCAACCTTGAACTTACGCCATTTGCAATGTAGAATACATTCTTCACCAGAAGTAACTTCTTTTAGTAGTTGAACCAATGGGGAGCCCCAAAGAAGTTTTATTTTTTGTACAGAATCCAATCATCTTTGGTTATTTGTTCCATATACAGTACACCTCATTATCCATCCATCTCATAACCATTCATCCAATTCAGGGTCACAGGGGAGCCAGAGCCTATACTGGCAAGCAACACGCACAAGGCAGGATTCACCTCGGAAGGGACACCAGTCCATTGCAGGGCACATACAGACACAAACACATACGTACTCTCACCGGGACCAATTTTCCCAGAAGCCAATTAACCTACCCGCACGTTATTGCACTGTGGGAGAAAACTAAGCACCCAAAGGAAAAGCATACGAACACCAGGAGCACATACAGTACAAACTCTACACAGTAGACTTCATAATACAGTTTATTAATCTATTCTCCCAAAAGCTGGGGAAAAGCCGTCCAGATACTCCTTGTTAACCATTACTTTCTTGGACCATAAATTCAGAATGCATAGAATTAGAGAACAATTTATAAATGAAGGACTGACTTAACTCTAAAAATTGTTTATTTAGGGGTCAGAATTTCTTCAATTCCTCAAATCCTCAGACAACAACAATTTGCAAACCCCTCCTCACTCAACAAATCTTCCATTCCCAGGTTTAATAGTGGGAAAATGCTGTTGTTAAGATGAACAACTTCACCTCTTTGCCCTTATGAAAACTGCCGCAGGGGTTCCAAAAACCTTCAACAAAAATGTGTGGATTGATAAGTATAAAGCGCTGTAAAACTGCTGTTAATGTATTATTTTTTAAATGTTTCTTTTCATACAGAGGCTTCTTTTCATAAGACAAGCTTGATTCTAATCCAGTCAAACCTCCTTAACCCATTCCTCACCAAATGAGCTCTCATTTGTAAACACTCTTATGTTTGTGTAGGGGAAAATGTATTTCCCCTTTTTTCTCTTGCTAACATTTTTTAAAGTTGGTGTCAGACAGCCAAAGACTATTTTTGCTTTATATCTTTTAAGGGGCAGAAAGCAGGGCTCCTCTCATCATAACTTTATTGTTCTACATATGCTAGTACAGCTGTCTGACATGCAGTACGTTTAATTTTTTTCCCTTTAAGTTCAAAGGGCTTTAGTTGGCATGACCAATCTGTAATTCGTTTCTCTTGTTTGGAATGTGTGTTTCAGAATAGCATTATCAGAAAGTGGGTGTGTGCAGGAGAAGTCCATTGCATTGAGTACCAGAAATTTAGTATATGTGTGTTTTAATACCCTCATAACAAAAACCTTGATATAGAAAGCAAAAATAAGTGAGACTGAAAAGACTCAATAACAGCAGCAAACCAAGCTCGTGGTTGTATATTAGCAACAACTTATACAGCCTTGTGGCATTTTGTCCGTATCATTATTGCAATACCTTATTATGTTTTGGTTATTGTAATATATTATTAGATTAACTGCTTATATGGATGTGACTTTGCATCGCGTTTTACTTTTTAGACTGTTTTGAAGGTTGTTCAATGTCTTGGATGAAGGTGTTTTCTCCTAAACAGAATTAGCAACATTTCGCTGATCCACAATTATGATTTTAGCTTTTGCTTAATTAAAATATATTGTATCGTAGCCCTCATATAATCAGTCTTTGTTGAAAGCAACTTTCTGAAAAGAAAAGTACTGTACCAGCATAGGAAGGTCAAAAGCCCCATTATAAAACCTTTTTTTTCATTGGAAGAAATAAACTTGAGAGGAATCTAGAGAACTAATTCACACTTACAAACCTACTCTCTAATTGCATTAATTACCGTACAAGAACATATCCTTGTTTATTACGTTTTCTTTCGGATATGGAGCCTAAGAAATAAAACAATAAAACTTGTTAAATGCCCTCCTATCAATTCTAGAGATAGTGCTCATAACTGGAATGGTAACACTGTGCGATTATGATTGTGTGGGGAAAATAAAACGTCTGCCCTAAAATCTGTTCATTTAGAGATAATTATGACAAAAGTATCATATTTAAAGATATGTCTAACATAATTAGTACACTATGGAATTAGTACACAGTCTTAATCTCAAATGCTTAGTAATGCAATGAAGCCATGAAAACACTAACACAATGCCTGGTTACACTTTGAAGAGTGCAGAGTACAAGAGAGATTATTGAAATTGTATAAAGAAGTAGGTAGATCACATTCTGAGGCTACACACAGTACCAGTTGTCTCTTTAAAAAAAGGGATCAAGGCTCATTTCAGTACTTAAGGGGATGCATTACAGTACCAGCCTGAAGTAACTTTATTGTTTCAGATTCAGTATAAGATGTCTGAGAGAAGACCTGATTGAGGTCTTCAATGTTTTAAACAAAATCGACCAGCTAGATTCCAGTACTTATTTTAAGTAAAATTCAGTACGGACAGGAAACTGACATTAGGAAATACCTTTTTACAAAGGGGATTAATACACACAGTAGATGGCAAAGTGCAGTGGTTACCTTGCTACCTTGGAGTGCTGAGACCCTGGGTTCAGTCCCAGACAGGGGTTGCTATCTGCATGGAGTTTGTATGTTCTCCCCATTTTCACATAGGTTTTCTCCCACAATTCAGAAAAAAAATACCTTGCCTTACGACTGTTGCTTGCTGAGGCTTTGCTCTAGTCTTCTTCAAGTCTAGGATTCATACTGTGACACTTTCACTCAGACTAGAGAAACTGATGGATTCACCATAAACCTTTTTTTTACTGTATGTTCTCAGGCATTGACAATCAAAAGAGCTAGATAATCCTAGATAAGCCCCTGAAATGCGTAAAGATCACTATGAGAGCTACTACTACTATTGCTATTATTATTATTATTATTATTATTATTATTATTATTATTATTATTATTATTATTATTTGAATGAATGCAGGTGTGGGTGTGTAGATATTTACGTAGGAATGTCATTGGTGTTCAAATACTTAAATGTGCACATAGACGTTGTGTCAGTGAGAAATGTAATTGCAACAGAAGAAAAGTTATTTTAATTTCACAACACAGCATTTAGTGTACAACCCTTAAGCTTTAATGGTGAAGCAAAATACTGTAAAATAAATTAAATAGAAAACATAGCCACAAGCACATATTTTTTTCTTTTTTTTTGATTTGTACAACAAAGCAATGCAACATAAATTTATCTGTATCTCCATATATACAGAATAAAAATAAAGTCTTTTATCTTAGACCAAACACTTGCTTCAGTGTCGTTTTCATTTGTCTTGAGAAAAACCAAATACAACCACAGTTTTTTTTTTGTTTGTTTTTTTGTTGCTGTTTTTATACAGATATGTGCCAGAGGCATCCTGGCAATTTTTGAATTTCTTTCAGTCCAGACTGCAAAGCAAACTCCGAAGGTAACAGAATCAAATTGCTGAAAATTAGACATTGCACAATGATACAGTGTTCATTGCAGTAAGCAGAAAAACAACTTTTTACAACAAGTCAATCCACTGGAAAATAATAATGCAGAATTCTGATGGGGTCCTTCCAATACTCAGTGAGAAAATATATGTATTTCATTAAAAATAAAATAAAGGTTTGTATTTTTATGTTGTTTTTTTATTGTGATTATTTTTTGCACATTCGTTTTACACATTTCAAACATACATCTAGAAGACTGGTCTTAAGTGCCTTTTTAATATAAGCTGCTTTTCGACAGTGTACCACTACATCTCAAGAACCGAAAATACACTTGATATTGAAATGTGAAGGGGACTCAGAAGAGAGCTGGAGGAAAAACTCTTGGATCACAAATCTTCACTGAGCAAGACATTTTTCTGAAGTGTATACTGTAACGACCACACATAGGAAATTGGAAACTCTCACACAAACTCTTTGGTGTTATTTAAAAGAAAAATATATATGCCTTAATTGATTTTTTGTTTTTTTTTCTCTCTCTTATGTGCTCTAAATATTCATTTAGCCCACTTTTTAAGTGCAGCTCCTCTGTATTCCAATACCTGTTAAATATTGATTAGGCAGATCAAAAATGTCGGTATAGTGCAAATCGTAAACGTTCAGAACGCTTAAAAAAATAAGAACAGAAAAAATAGTAATAACAACAATATTAATAAAAATAATAATATTAATAATATTAAAATAATAATAATAATAAAAAATAATAATTATATAGAGAAGTGTTTGGCTCCAGCAGCTGGTCAAACATGTTTCTTTCAAGTATCTCTCAGCAACAAAAACATGAAATATTTACTTCCAAAAAAGTATTAAAAAGTCTTCCTCTTTTTGTTTGAAAAGGTAAACAGTTTAAAATAATACTTGACAAGTTGCATAGTTTTGAGAATCGTAGGCACCTTATCAAAACGGTAACTCTTATTGCAGTGCACTGAAGATGAGCAATGCTGCACACTTGCAACATATATATTTTCTTTCTTTTTCTTCTCTCTCCCTCTTTGTAGTAACAAAAATATATTATATATTTCTCTTTTTTTACTTTTTTTTTAATCTGAAAGTGCCTCAGAATGGTCCAAGTTAAAGACAACCAGCAGATTAGAAGACGTCTGAAGGAATCAGCGCCATGTCAGGTTGAGTCTGATATGATTGTGAGTCTGCTTGAAAGAAGGTGGGATAGAAATTCCCCCCTCTCTCTGTCTCCTTATTCTTTTTTTTTTTCAGAGCAGTTGCCTTGGTCCTTAAGAACAGCCGCATTCCTCTACTATCATGTTCTGAATGTCTTTTTTAACAATTTTCTGCCCTTCGTCATAGTACAACATGGACATGGCCCGTAGTTTGGTCGGAACGCAACAAGACTTGATGTTTGTGAAGGGGCCATAGCCCCGCATTCTGTAGTGGTTGATGACTGTTGAGTGGAAAGACAGCGAGGAGCCTGTAATACCGGCGACATTAGTTGGGCAGTCGCCTTCGCAGTAGTTGGCATGATAACCCGAGGGGGCTATTATCCAGTCGTTCCAGCCGATGTCCTTGAAGCTGACGTGGAACTGCTTCTTGCAGCAGATTCTAATTTTGCCGTCGCACTCCAGACCCCTCTTCCTCCGGCGGTGAGGGTGGTCCTCAGACTGCCGCACCACGACCATGAGGAACGGTCGATGAGACTGCTCCCGCTCGTCCTTCTCCACCAGAATCGGGGTGGCGCCAGCTTCTTTGCACTGCTCACACACTATCCTCAGGTCAAGGGAGCTGTACCCTTTCTCCAGCAAGGCCTGGATGCTTCCGGACACGGGCAAGGTGTGCCAACCACTCCGTCTAGTGTCCACCGCTTTCTCAGAGATGACAACGTCTAATTCAGCTCCATCTGTGCCCTGTTTCTTCTGGTAGAGCTGGATTGTCACTTTAGCACGACTCCTGTTAGTTTTGGACAGTTTAAGGAAGAGCCAGACATTGGCTTGTTCAACTAGGGACAGGTCATTGCCTTCCTTTGATATCTGAAAGCGCACAAAGTCTGAAGAGTCACCTGATGGGATAGAGAGAAACAGAGGGAAGAAATCAGTAACACGGCCACATCTGAAATTAAGCAATTTGACAATATAGGAGCATCACCGCACTCTTGCAATGTGCAAGTTCTTTTCTGAGAAACTATGTTGATTTTGCAAACATAAAACAGAACATTTTGCCTGTTTTAATGAAAAGACATTTTTTATTCTTTTTTCCAATGCTACTGTAATCATTGTAAATTATTACTGTAGGTAGGTAAGGAAAGGCTTCCAAATGATCAGTGAAATACAGATCTAAACTTTTTCACCATTACAGTGACCTACTGTAAACAGCAAAAAGAAACAGGGAATAAGTTACAGTCAGACAACTAGACTTTAAATACTTTACAGTATATGTGCAACATATACACATTTTCAGTATATAAAGAGAATTTAATATATAAATTATAATGTAAATAGCAATGTGAATGTTCTAATTGTTAAAACATATGTAATGTATATAATACTGTATGCTGGCTTTCATTACTTTTAATTAGTGCTAAATCCTCTTTAAGCAGAATGTCCCAGAACCGTTTTATGAATAGCTGTATAACCCTGCTTTTGCAACACTGCCAAATATTGATGGATATTCATGTTTTCCAAATAAAGCTACATAAAAAAATCCCAAAGTCAAGGAAAGCAACTCAAGCGGAAAGACTGCAGAGGCAGCTTTTTCTGCTCCCATGGGTTCTTACAGGTTAAAATTAGAAAACACACGTAATGCTCAAGACTCACATTCCAGAGTGCCCTCGAAAGCTTTAAAGAGACCAAATCAGATACTAGAAAACATTACTGTAGTTAAAAAGGCTCCCAAGTGTCTGCAAAGACAGAAATTGAAAACATCTCCTCACGACTCCACATAAAAGATCATGAGAGCTCTCCATGGAACAGCAGATGGAGCCATCTTCTCAGATCAAATAGTTAGAAGACTTCTGAATTAAAGTGTATTTGATAAATGTCAAGTAGAGTAGTACAACTAATGAAAAAAGGCAGTTGTCTTACTATAAAATGGCAGATGTGCATTCACAGAGCACGAGGAACAAGACTTGTGCCCCTTGAGGACCAGGCAAAGGTGCTGTGGTGAGATCACCAGATTCATATAGTCTGAGGATGAGAACTAACAGCATATTCATACCAAAATGCTGTATCACAAATATGTAATTGCAATGCTTAATTCATGAATCTTCTTAAAGATTTGCTTGCCACCAGCCACATGCTAGTTGCCTTGATCCTACCGTCAAAGCCGGTGGTAATAGCACTTTGCCTAGAAGAGCTTATCATCAGAAGAAGCTGCCATATTTGCTCCTTGTGAGATTCAAATGATTACTAAGACCAATGAAAACAAGTTGGCAAGCGTTTTGAAGGCCACCACTGATCTTTGTTATTCAGATATACAGAATGCAGGATATTTCTTATTCCACGCCTGCACTTTATTTCCAGTGCATTAAGGCACTCCATGGCACATATCACATGCTAGCAAGTGATAGTTTATAAGAAATCAGGATATTCTCTTAGAATGGCCCATCACAGGTCCCATTACTTAAGTCAAATTGATTACCTTTAGCCAGTGAGAAAGCTGAAGAAAAAGTGTTACGAGAACTATACGTAGAGCTATGAATGACAGTGATGCACAAATAATAATGCGGAAATTCCACCTCCAAGCAAATTTGCTAATGATTTAAAATACAGTGTGTGCTTTACAACCTCGATTATATGAGGTTAATCACAACTGGAGATGGAAAAGGTAAAGATCCTTTGCTTGCTGTGTCTATTCAATTAAGCAATGCTAGGCCTGAAGAAGGCTCCATGGCCGAAACGTTGTGTTTTCTTTCTTCCTTTTTTCAGCATGGAATAAACCTATTACTTGTTCCTTTGCAGCCTACGCATGCTGACGCAGCTACCCACCTATGCTAGGCCTTTGGAATACTTAGTAGAAGGAATTCCTCAGAGAAAGACAGTTAGTATAACTGTGATTTACAGTATAAATAATCCTTTGCTATGTGTACAAAAAACTGTTACAAATACTGTAAGTGCTTGGCCAACGTGTAATTTTACCATATGAATTTATATTCCAGTGTGTACTGTAAGTAATTAGTAATTAAGTTAGTAATAATGTATTGAGTATTTTCATCACCCCCTTTAAGTTTAAAAATGTACAGATAAGGATAGCAATCTACAACAAGCAATATGAAACTTGTCTGTTGTTTGATTTACTCCCAGAATATATGAATACTGTATCTATTATACAGTATGTGCTAGAATTCCCTTAATTATTTATGACAAATATGACTTTGCTCTGTGCAATTGTGATTACAGTATAACATTTTTAGAATTTTTTCAAGCGAGACACATTACATAACCCATAAGGTATTCTGTTACATGACATTCATTTCAACACAAGATTCTTATTTTATTTGGGTATGAATAAATCTGCAGGGTACTGTATAAAAGTCAATTGCAATGTCTGTGTAAGTATTCTTCAGTTATTTCTCTTATCAAGTCAATGCCCTTTTTGGTATATTGTGCCAATTTATATTTTAGCTTTAGTATAAATTGTTTTGCATTTATACTTAATTTATTGTGACTGGGCATTTCATTTTTAATATTTATTTGACATAAGAGGATTTTCTCATTCTTGTTTAGTAATAGCATTTATATTAGTGTAGCAATAGCATGTATGACAACAGGATTTATAAAGCTGTTAAAATACAGCTTTTAATGTGGCTTTGGAGAGCAGCAGAGTGGCTTTATCTACAGTATTTCATGACAGTGCAGTATTTCTAGAGGCACCTTCTGTTTCTTTCTAATAATCTTAGACATACAGTGTCTGTCCTACCCAGTTCCACCATGTTACCAGATAGCTATTTAGGCTGAATGAAGCCTGCCTTCAGCAGGGGGTGACACTCACAATATCCTAAGTCAAATGCATTAACACAAGGTTAGTACTTGAGAGTTCAATTCATTAGCCATTAGGCTTAATGATTCCTGTATGTGCCATTAAAAACAGAAAGCGTTTTCAATGTAATCCCCAAACAATAAACAGTGTATTCGTTCTGTGAATACAGTTTGCACAGCTGTCCACCGATCAGAAGGATGGAAAACAGCAACTGCAGTAGACATCAAGGACTTAATAAAGTTCCTGACAACTTCCTAAAGCCTTAGAAGATCTTTTCTTACATTCCTGCCTCTTACAATTGTGTCCTTAATCTTCTTTAGCCTTTTTTATCTGAAAAGCAATGGTGTTTTTCCTAATTTCAAACTTTATTTACCAAACATTTATAAGGTCTCAAAATCTCCTTATCCCATTTGAATTAAAGTCAACTGCTAAGCTCCTCCAGCTATTCATATACTGTAGCTCAATGGCTTTTAAAAAATATATATATTTAAATCTAAAAGAATCAAAGTTCCCAAAGTCTTAGTATCTTGGCATTTTTGTGATGTTCTTTTTTACCACTCACACAGTTCTCCACCGCTACTGATCAGCCCTGATTCCTCTTTTCTTTCCTAACAGGGCATATTCTGAAAGCTGCTACTGTTCTTCCACTAAGTGGAAGAGGAATTGTCATCATGAACTGCACTGCCATTTAAGTGTAAAGCTCTTGAGGACCACTTAAAGGACTAATTCCAAGGTTTACACAGACTGTGGGACAAATGCCACATTAGTGCAAAAGGTCAAGCATGGTAGTTGTCACGTAACCTCGCTCAGGCACTCTGTATTGTTGTGCGTCCGTGTTAATGCACACATGGTCTTGCCTACTAAAGCTATTCAGGCGAGCAGTCCCAAAAAATGAGGTACCACTTTGGACTGCCAGGTCTTTTATCGCTGAACACAGCAAGGCAGAAAGGCTGCTGAAATCAAGGTAAAAAGGAACAATACACTTGCACAAAATAAAGGGAAACGTGCAAGAAAAAGTGTAATCTTCTGTTGTCCGATAGATAGCAGGAACTTTAAAAAATTAAGTTACTGTAACTCACAGATTCTTAACCCTCTCCCTGTAGGGTCTGCTGCCCTACAAACTTCAGGATTAATATAACCTGCTTCCTTCCAAGAAAACAGTTACATAGAGAGCAAAGATTAATTAAGTAACAATATAAAATTTGCTCATTTTGTGTCAAATGCACATTCTATATTCCCTAAAAGAATTACATATTTTGGTGCTTTGTAAGAATGTAACTTGGCACATTAAATTTTAGGTTTGTCTAGGGAAATGGTTGAATCCTAGGATTGTTTATGGAACTATAGCAAAAATGCTAATGCAAGATAAAAGAATAACCAAGAAAACCAGTTTAAAGAGATTAAATTTGGCATAAAGTGATCTTTGTTCCTTCTAAGGCAAAAGCAGATTTTGAAAAGATTGGATCATCTCTTTGCCACTTTGGATTTTAATACAGCCTTTGGATCACATTATTTTCAACTTAACTCCTGTCTGCTTCTTTCAATACTAAATTATAAATGCTTAACTCCCTGTCTAATATGTTCATACTGTATGCTATTGATTATTTACAAGTTTACAAGGATGATCTTAATAATTTGAAATATAATAAGAATAATATATTGCAGCTGAGAAAACCTGAACTTCATCAGATAATAAGTAAAATCGTTGTGTTGAAGGCACTTTAATAAACTTCAAAAATAACTTATCAGTAACCAAGGTACTCCTGCTTTTACAATTATTTCTTGACAGCATATGGAGATTTCAAAACCTGGAGAGACACTGTACTACTGTATGTTCCTCGTACAGTAAATGGCCTTTGGCATACTTTTGTTTTTGGCTGGGTTGCAGAAATGGTTCCTGATGACAGCTGGCTTGAAAAGGTCTTTTCTTGTTAAAAGAGTAGGACTTTGAGTATAAAATCAACTTTCCTAAAACTTATTTGTGTTTTGTCCTTAGATGCCATGTAGCCTAATAGAAAAGAGCTAAATGGATTCCTGCATTAAAAATAAATAAACTTTAAATTCCTCCATTAACCATATGTCTATTTTTGTGAACTGTTAAAAGAAATGTTAATAGTGATCCAAAACTCCTTTCAATATGGCTAAGCGGTACCTTTACATTTATATAGCTCTAGGGTTTCTTTGTGAAAAAAGAACATATGTGAAATTGTAGACTTGTAAATTTAGCTGTACGTCCCTTGCTGTAATCTTTTGCAAAACTTGACTTTTGATGTTCAGCTACAGTCAGGTGGTCCAAATGTATTGTTTCTATAGAAAATCCAAGTTGTATTATATCAGATATTATAAAAAAATCATGTTTGCTAGACCTGCTACAGTATTAACAAAATTTAAGGCCAACAAACCCATTCCAAATAAAATTAAGTTGAACAAGATTCCAAAACAAAGAGCATCTTAAATTTTGCAAATTGTAATGCAATAAACATTCAGAATATTTAAACATACATATAATTAATTGTTCATATTAAAGTTAAATGTATTCATAGATTTATGTTACAGTAGATAACTGTCTAGAAATAAATGCATTAGAGTGTACATAGATGGCACAATTATTGCATCAAAGGAATGTATTGCAAGATTCTTAAAATATGTATGAGAATGGACTGTAAAATGCAACTCACATTTTAAAATTAATATAAAATGACTGCTTTTTGATTATGATCTGTAATATCACCTGTCTCAGGAAAATATTTTGAGACCCTCTGTTACTCAATGACAGAATTCCCCAGGGACATTTAACTCTTGAAACAAACTACTGTGTACACCTTTGAATAAGAGTCACAGGACGCCTATAGTGGAATTCCTCTAATGATGTTCAGTTTAATTATTTCATTCAGGGAAATAAACTGTAGTGTAATTGGTGAACTCTCCATACCATCAAGTTCAGTGTGTTCTCTGCCTGAAACTCTTTCAAAGTCGGTCACACTGCTCATCAGCATGATAGGCAGGCTTAACCAAGTATCAGGGCCTGCATTTCTCTGAATGAAGCAATTAAGCACAGCATTGTTTGAAGAATTGCGCAGCCTGCTTCTAGTCTGCTTCTGTGCTCTGTGTTGCATTGTTAATATCTCCATTCTTTGATTACGAAACCTCATAGGACAAAAGTGTGCACTGAAGTTTTAATGTAACGGCTCTCATGAGCTATTAATAGTGAAGAGCTATTATGAGCATCATTCTTATGGAAATATGAGCAATGCAATTCCTGATGACAAAAACATACAGTATGAGTGGTGTATAGAGATGTTCACCACTGTGCTTACTTATCTTAGACACAGTGGGTATTATGAAGCAGCAACAATTTAGTTAATACCTCCACTAGTGTTTTCTATTATAACGCCTTTGATTTTTCTGAGGTGCTCCTTGTCATTAACAAAATTGGCTCCTCTTTCCTCTCTTTAATAGTCATAAAGCTGAAAGGCTATTTTTGTACTATAAAACAGAATCTGGGGATTAGTTAAAATAAAATGGTTAACAATTCAGTTGAAGATTGCCATATAATTGAATGTTTGCAAAAATAAGCAAAATCAATTAGTTTAAAAGGAGGACGATATGAAATGTCAAACAAGTATACACTGTACTGTATATACTGTACAGTATGTGTTAATAGCATTTTTTTCCATGGCATGCATGAAGATACTTTTTTTCAAAAAGAATATGGAAATTAAAACTGGTATCAGAATACTGATGTACTAGTCACGAGGAAATCCCTGTTTGGACGTTTAAGCCTAGAATTTTTTTTTTTATTGTTTTGGTTATTTTTATTTTATTAGAGGTATACAGACAAGTACAGCCGTCTGTCAGCGGTTCCCTCTTGTGGTTTTCGTGCGGAATCGCATGTAAAAATGATAAAAATTGACGGCAAGCATTTCTTTGGTGAGAAAAAAATGAATAGTGGATAAAGGTTGTGAAAGGAGGGTCTTCTTATCTGCATTTAAATCGGGTAAGACTCTTTATCTTTTTCTTATCGATGTATCAGAGGATTTACGTCAGGCTTACTTTGTATAGATCATAAGGAATAAGAGTTCTCGGTATGTCCACGATTTATTTGAAAACATGGACGCACAGAGTTGCTGTGCAAGCGAGCCGCATCTTTCCCGTAAGGATTTCTTTAAAGGTAATATTAACGTATGGGTCACGTGTCTTGAAAGGACGCACGTTAAATTGTTTTACCTTTAAGATAAAAAAGTAACACTAATGAAGCTTTGGCATTTCTGCTTAATCCATTGGGAGCAGTGAGGTTGGAATGTAATTTGACGAGTGTTCCGTGAAATCTAAAATAAAATCTGTTTCATGTCAGTAATGACATTTAAACGTAAGAGCTGTTCAAATTGATGAGCATACTGTAGCAAGCCTGACGTTATTTTATTTTCACAATAAAGCGGGATGAGCATAAATGTAATAGTTAAAGTCAACAAAATGCAATTCGCCGAATTAATCAAATACAATTTGGGGTTTTTTTTTGCAATATTTTACGAATATCAAGTATGGGTTACTAACGAGTCCAAAACACTGTACGTCTTAGGTCTACTTATCTCCAAAAGAAAATGTTTCTGATGCTCATGTTTCTTTAAGGCTATGGAAAGGAAGATTTGCGTATACTGTATCTGACAACCGTCTTCCTTCAGCCCTTCAAAGCACTTGAAGTAAAGTGTTGCAGGTTTTACGTGTTTGATGGCAATATAAACCTGGATTTGTCCTATGACCACTTTACACACGTGTGTTACTGCTGCGTACAACAGAATTTGCGGCATTTCGTCTATGGACCGTTTGATGTTTAGGAAGTCGAAAGCATGCATCATGATAGATTAAAGCTCCACTGCATTTACTAGACTTGATATGAGAGATTTCGGTACCTGAAGTACTAGTGCTTGCTCATTATTGGACTAAAAGTCAACCGACTTTGTTTGTGCCTCAAAGAAAGTTTAGCAGCAGGACTTGGGTGAGATTGTTCTGTCATTAATAAGGTCAACGGTGAGGTCACGTAGGCCAGTCATCAAGTGAGGTAGCATGCTGATTTGCAATACAATATAGGTTTGGAACCTCAGAAAGTAGGCAATGTCAACCTTTTTTACTTTTCGCCCAGAAAAAAAAGGTAAAAAACTTAGCTTTCTGAATTAGATAATCGATAACTACTGTAGCACAAATCCCTTTGGCAGAATACTGGGACATGCCAGAAATTAAAAGATACTCATTCAAAATTGTTTTACAAGTGACAAATGCAATCATTTTAATTTTAAATATCTGCTTCTGGCACTACTGTGTAAATCCAGGTATCCAATTTGTATCTCATGCTTTTTTGCGCAGTTTGAAGTTTTATCTAAATGAGTTAGAAACAAAAGTTTTAGGACTATTTACTGTATACTTACTGTTTAACAATGAAAAACATAGTTTGTAGTATACTAAATAACTACCATATTTTTTACTGCAAAAATTCCTCTTTGAAAATAATTAGAAAAGGTTGAAAGTCAGTTAGACATGAACATGCTGAATACAGTGGCTCTCAGTCATTAAGTTTCATAAATGCAGATTCTCCAGTACTCCTAACATCCTCTGAACAACTTGACATCATTATACTGGTGTAGTAAAAATCTTTCATTAAAGTCAAACAATTGGTCTCAGTGCACGCCTTGCCAGAACATTGCCACTTCAGTGAACTCTCGTGTTCTTTTATTTTGTTAATCTGTACAGTCCACTTTTTGATCTGTAGAGCTCTTGAGCAAAGTACAGGTGTCATTCACTGCCAATGAATACAATGAATAGAAGCTCTTTGCCATACAGTTTTGTGGAGCAGACTTTTCTCATTACAGCTCATTTCAGGGCTTCCTGCTGCCAAATTAATCCTGTTAATTTAAGGAGTTTTACATACTCTCTACAAGCAAGTTTATCTAATCACTTCAGATTAAGCTGTTGATTTTCAAAGACTGTCAGGCTCAGTGAGTTTTGGCTTGCTTTGAACTTGGGTCTCCCACCTACTAGTCAGAACCCTCTTTTGCTCTTTTTGTCATAGCACAGAATATTCATTCAAATTTTTCATTCTTTCATTTCATTTAGTTGATTGTGTGAATGTATGTGTACTTTTTTATGCCAATATAATGAGGAATTGACTTTTTGCAATGTTACTTTTCCCACATTAAACTGAGTGGCATGTTTCAGGACAACAGGGTCTGTTGTTCAATGCTGAGTCCAATTGCTATCTGGACTGTGCATTTTCTGTAAAAAAACATTTAGACGTTAGATTTACTGTGAAACAGTAGGGGTCTCTGACTCCTGAACTGTGCTAACAGGCACACTTTGTAAGAAGCAGCAGTCAGGAGGATTTTCTTCAGTTATTGAGAATGCTGGAGTGCACTCTATGAAATTGTCTCCCTGCAGTACAAAAGGTGACAAATAGACAGCTCTGAAGAGTCAGGAATCACAAATATTCACATCTTCTACGTGCTGAAGTTGTGAACGTAGTTTTAGTAGGTAATTGGGTATCTAGCCTTCAATCAGTAGGATGCAACAAAATACCTTTAAGAGGGGTGCCTGAGTACAGTTTTAGATAACAGGTCTTAAAATCTTAAATTCTAGTGCATTAGGCTTGTTCCTCAGCCTCAGCTGCTTCCAAGAGAATTATGTTTACAAACCTGTCTAACTGGGTTGAAGACCTGCCCTCTTCCACACCTTGCCATTAAATCTCCCCCCCTCAGTTCAGACATGGGCTACTCACCTGCCTCAGCAAAAGTGATGATTTCCGAAGTTTGCTCCGCCAGCTCGCTCATCTCTGCCCGGCTGTGAGCCTCATCCTCAATCTCCACGTTGCCATCCTCGCCAACTTTTCCCACGTGTAGTTTTTTGATGGCATTCAGCAGGGCTGCCCTGGGCACGGGGTGGGTGATGTTGGGTCTTTCCTTCAGATGCAGCATGCTCAAGATGTGCTTCTTGACGGCCTCGACCATATCTGCTTGGGAGCTGGCAGGCACATCTTTCTGCAGCTTGGAGAGGGCACAAGAGGGACAGTCGGTGACCGGCGTGTGTCCATCAGGGGAGCCAGGGGTGGGAGAGCTCCCTGCCAAAATCCCAGAGAAGAGCAACAACATTCCACTCAGCAGAGAAAAAGACATCCTGAAAGAGTCAATCTGAGTTGTAAGTTTTCCCCCTTTTTACACTAAAACTGAAAAAAAAACAAAGTAGAAACTAAGCAAAAATAAAGTATAATCCCTTTTTTTAAAATAAAGAAGCAAGAGCAAACACTTTGCAGATCTGGAAAGTTTGAGTCTGGTAGCTACCGAAGTCTTGATCAGTTAGTCAAAAAAAGTTTTTCTAAGTTTATCAGCTGAAGTTCTGTGGCAGTGTAGATGTGTAGTGCTGGAGGGATGTGCAGAGCACCCGATAGGTCTCAGTGAGTTCGCTGTGTATGAGCTGAATGGTTTTGTATAAGTGGGCAGGGTTAGCTCACTCACTCTCTCACTCTCTCTCCCTCTAATTATACCTCGCTCCCTCCCAGTTTTTCTATCACTATACTTCTGAGTCATGTTATACCAACTTTTTCTTTTTTTTATTGCTTGTCACCCTGCATATTATACATAAACTTCACCTCCTTTTCATGTTCTTATCTTGTTCTGGTTTTCTGCTTCTCTCAAGCTTCTCATTTATTTAACTACAAAAATATATCATTAACGTGTGAAAAGGCTTGATACTGTCCAACTGGGTCTAATTGTACAGGTGCAATCAATGTTATCATTCATAATCGATTCTTTTTTGCGTTTTTGATGATTTAATATTAAGGAAACTATGTGTATTATTTTAGAAGCATTTCACTGCCAACATTTGTGAACATCTGGTAAGGTTTTATTAATGCTGAATAAAATCTGTAAATTAGCCTTTCTTGCTGCGCTGGGCCAGTGGACATAGTTATACATGAAATACCTATCACTTTGTAACTCACTTCCTCTGTATCATAAATAACCTCTTTGAAGACAGCACCTTGATTTTTGTCTAGATTATTATTGTTCTTCTAAACAAAATGTTTTTGAGTTTAAAGCTCAACTATACACACACTAAACAATTAGTCAGAAAGGAGCACATTGGAAAGTAAAGGTTTCCTCGTTTCCTGATGTACTTGCTTTTGAAAAAATGTCATTTTGTGACTAAGTGCTTTGTATAACCACAACTCATTTTTAACAATCATTCAGAAAAAGTCTGACAAGGAAATTTCTCAAAACCATAAGCTAGGTTCCTGAATGGTTTGGCTATGGCCTCCTGTTGGAGCACAAGTTGGACCCTGTACTGCAGTTCAGAGATCACTGGTTCAAATCTAGGCAATGTCATGAGCTACATATATCCCTGGTCAGGGTTTCCCAGAGGAAACGTCACATTTGACAAAGTACTGCCAGGGGTTTGAGGTTGGCCAGGGTTTTCCTGTGGTCCGGCTCCAATGACTTTGCAGTGTGTGCCTTCTTCAGCTCTCTTATACTGTACTTTAGAAGTCATTTTGACACTTTCTAGAAAATTTTAAGCAAGAGAATAGTCATTGTTCTTTGTTTCCTTTTAATTTTTTAGTTTACTTAACAGACATGAACAAACGTGCTCTTGATTTCTTTGAAGAAATCTCAAAGGACATGCATTCTGGGCTCTTTCTTTCCTTTTTTGTAAAGACTTAGCAACTGCACAGCTTACATTGACTTATTCAGGTATTTTGGTTATGTCCATATGAACTAGTGAGGTCAATTAACTCAGCAGCAGCCTCTGCTGGCAAAAAATGTTTCTTTCACCCAAATTTCAGTAACCTAGCAACCTAACAACTATTACTGTGCTCTTCACAACTCCTGTTCTCTTATTTCTGTTACCTCTCAACTTCATGCTCCGCAGGGTAGGTAATTAATTTCAGAACTTGCGCCATCTTCATGCTCTCAGTACATATTAAATTCATCTTGAGTGATGCTGGCCTGGAGTTGGGTATACTTCCTTGGAATGCTTGTGATCAGACCTCTTAAGGTCAAACAATATTTTGAAGAAGTGGGATGTTATTAATATTATGTTATTTTTTCCTGCATATTCCCCATTTTCTTGTCAGCCCTCAGTATTGCAGCTGTTGTAGCTGATTAGCACAGACAGATGGCTTAATATTACTAGTGTTGGCCTGCTTTCGATCTGGAGGGATGTGAGTGGTGATCCCATCACTCTCATCATCCTGGGACTCAGAGTAGGCCTGCAGATGCAGTGTGACTCCTCGTTGGCATGGGTGTGAGCTCTGTTATTAATGTTGGCCTAAAGGGGAAAAAAATGAGGAGGAATAATACAGTTGCAGCTCAGTCATATAGAGGTGGAGACCTTTAAGGGCAAATATTGGTAGGACTGCTTACATCCCACATCTCAAGAAAAAAAAAAAGTTCTGCATTGGACTAAAACATTATTCTTCTCTTGGAGGAAAAAGTTGACAAAATAACATTTTTGAAGAAGATGTGAATGATCAAATGTAGACAATTATATAACATTAACACATGAACAATGTAATGCAAGATTACTTTTTGGAAAGGCGAGAGGTGGTTCTGTCTAATCTGAACTGTCATGTGAAATTTGTTTAAAGGCTTTATTTTAGTCATTTTTACATCCTGTACTTATCATACCAAATTTTACCCCCCCACACACACTTCTCAGATTGTTTGGCCTGATTTATTCATCTCCTCTCAAAATATCTACATTTCAGCCTTATCTTATTAGGATAATACCTGCAACAGTCTTGCAGAACTACATGAGGATTCCCCCATGACTGGTAGTAGCTAGATCTATTTCTCTCATATCTTCAGAGCAATTTCTGAACACTGGCCTTCCTTTTCAGTAGAATGAACTAAATTTGTCTGTCTATAATGATTTCCCCCCTGTCTCTTATCTTATGAGTGCTTAGAACAAAATTCTGTGGTTCATAGTGCCAGCTAAACCCATTTTCTAACTTGCAGCCAAAAGCAAACACAGATAAATTTCATTATGGTAGATATGCATATATAGTATTATTTTCACTATAATGTTGTTTTCCATCTACTATCTTACAAACATCACCATGACTTCCCTATTTCGTTTCTAGCATTGCTCTATTATCAGATTTCACAAGTTTTTTTTTTTAATGAAAAACTTACAGTTGAGCTAGAAGGCATTACTAAAGTTTTGCCTGACCAAATTAATATTTTTGGAAGCTCGTTGATTAAAAATAGTTGGAAGGGACAACCATGTTTTTTTTTTCCCACTAGGGGGCAAACTATCTCTAAAGTATAGTTAATGCTGAATTGTCCTGGAGGCAGGACAGAATGATGTAGTGCTGGAATGGAGGACGTGCTCAGAACTTAAGTCCTCACAATTTTAGGAGGGGGAACATTTGCTAAATGATTCACTTTTTCTAACCATGAAGCATCACTGTGGCTATCCTGCTGTTTGTGCTAGATAGGGTGGGTGGTGAAATGATTAAAACATTTTGATCTCATAACTGATACTTTTTTATTAAGAAGATATAGTATCAGATATGTTATCTGATGCTATTTTGAGCTAGCTGAATGTGACATAATGCAGCTACAAATACAGTACATGCCACTTTTTACTGCTAATTAATGAAATGATCTCATTCTGCTGCTCTCAGAAATGTTTGATTAGTAAGAAAAACATTTTTAACAATGGGTCAGAGTAATGCATTACTTTTGATTGGATCTCTGAGAATAAACTCAGTAATTTTAAATGAGTAAAAGTCTTGGATTTCCCTGTTAACTTGCGTGTTTGCCAAATTTCTATACAACTGTGCTGAATTAGCTCTGCCACAGAAGCTTTACATGGTGAAGCCAAATGCAGCAGTATTCTTCAGACAGGAACTTGTCAATGGGATTGTTTACAATTATAGACCAAATAACATGAATGAGTAAAAATATAGTTTGTCTGCACTTCGTGGCATTTTGTGTGCTATGAGAATTTATCCTAAAATACAATTTAATATATATATATTATATCTAAGGTGCGGCACAATGGTGCTTTGGATAACCAGCCTCGCAGTGGTGAGACCCTGGGATAAAGTCCTGGGGTGCTGTTTGTGTGGAGTTTGTATGTTGTCCCTGTGTACATATGGTTTTACTCCAGGTTTCCCGGTTTCCTCCCACAGTACAAAGACATACTGGCACCTGAAAAAGTGATCCAGGTGTGAGTGTGTGCAGGTCTGTGCCTGTGTGTGTCCTGTGATGGACTGTGGTCTCGTCCAGGGTGTATCCTGTCTTGCTCTTGTTGCCAACTGTGTTGGATGGATGGATAGATCTCGTACCTAACAATATTTAGTGTATGTATGATATAATTAAAAAATAATGTACTGTATTTTAACAAAAGCTACAAAAGAGGAAAACAATCTTCACAAATTTAGGAAACATGTATTGCAGGTATTTTTTTCCATTCTTAAATGTTTCTTGTGTTTTAGAACAATTGAATGAAAAAACATGACAATCTCAACAGTTTAATGTTGACATACATACACTATATATTGTTAGGTACGAGATCTATCCATCCATCCAACACAGTTGGACAATTCTTACCTACTGTGAACCTAGCAAAAGAACACACACGTTAACTGTTAAATCATTAAGAACATTTAAAGTTTATTAAACCATTCATTTTTTTAATGTCAGACATAATAAAGCCATTGATTCCACCACTTCCTACACAGAGAAAAAACCTGGTCAAATGATAATTTATACACTTGAAGTGCTGGGTTCATCTGCCTTTTTCTGTTTTCAATCAGACTAAAATTGTATTGAAGGGACCACTTAATGTGATGCTCTTGATTAGCTCTAGATTCTCACTACAAACCTGATTTACCAGTAGAACTTCAGTAAGTAAAGTAAGTCATCCTCAGAAAGACTTTAAGTGATTTCTTAGTCGACAACAATTTTTCTTATTGAGATTAATATTGTGAGATTTAGAGCCTAATGCTCTGATTTCAAAGTTCTATTAATAATATTAAATGAATATTTAATAAATTGATAAAAAAAAGATTTATTGCAAGAAAACAGACACATTACCTATTAAAAATGACTTGTTTCCTAAACGATTGTAGAGGCCTTGGGCATTATTTTATACAAGAGGGGTCTTGAAAGAATCTTTCATACTAAATTGTCAGCACTTAGGAGCTCAACAGTCTGCATAACAATATTCTTCAAATAAGTTTTAAAATTTGGTTTCTGTACCATATCTGTAATGATAATTTTTGTTTGTTGTTTTCATATATGCTTTTGAGAAACATATGATTGAAATACATTTTAGCAATATGCCTAATAATAATGATAATACACTTTATTTTATATAGCAGCTTTAAAGGTGACTTCTCAAAGCACTTGTTAGTAATAAGTTAGGTGCAATATAAATTACACCCCCAAAAAGCTAACAGTAATTTCTC